CGGCATTAAAGTTGTGAGCAAGCGATTTGGCTACTGCATCAATTAGTTTGCTCTGGAGTTGTCCTTCCAAAGACAAAAATCTGTGAGCCGGAGGCTAAAAAACCGTGAGCCAGCTCACACTAACTCAGCTTAGAGGGAACACTGCACGTGACCAGTGTTCCCCCTAAGCCGAGTTAGTGTGACCTAGCTCACAGTTTTTTAGCCTCCGGCTCACACATTTTTGTCTTCGCTCAAGAAGCAAACTAGTTTATGCAGCAGCCAAATCACTTGCTCACAACTTTAATGCCGGTAGCTCAAAAGTAGAATTTTTGCTCACAAGACTCCACAGCTTAGAGGGAGCATTGGTCCCATCTTTTTATGAGACGCGTGGGACCTGCGCAGAGGGTAAAGTCCTAAAATGGGGAAGGTAAGGTGAGGCTAAGGAGGGTTCTCTGTGGACCTCACTGAGGGCTTCCACAGCAGGATGATAGTTTCAATTGTGTAGCCGTGTTGGTTGTCAGTAGAAGTCCAGTAGCTCCTTAGAGGGGACTGGATAAACATCTGGAGCAGAGGTCCATCAGTGGCTCATAGCCACAAGGTACAGAGGGAAAACTCTGTCTGGGGCAGTCATGCTCTGTCTCCTTGGTGCTTGCGGGAGCAACAGTAGGAGGGCTTCTGGAGTTCTGGCCCTGCTGGTGGACCTCCTGATGGGACCTGGGTTTTGGCCACTGTGTGACACAGAGTGTTGGCCTGGATGGGCCATTGTCCTGATCCAACATGGCTTCTCTTCTGTTGTTATGTCTGGGGCAAGGGATGCTCTGTCTTCTTGGTGCTTGGGGGGGAACAGTGGGGGGGCTTTTGGAGGTCTTGTCCTGCTCGGCATGGCTTCTCTTCTGTTTTTATGTCTGGGGCAAGGGATGCTCTGTCTCCTTGGTGCTTGCGGGAGCAACAGTAGGAGGGCTTCTGGAGTTCTGGCCCTGCTGGTGGACCTCCTGATGGCACCTGGGTTTTGACCACTGTGTGACACAGAGTGTTGGACTGTGTGGGCCATTGGCCTGATCCAGCATGGCTTCTGTTTTTATGTCTGGGGCAGTCATGCTCTGTCTCCTTGGTGCTTGCGGGAGCAACAGTAGGAGGGCTTCTGGAGTTCTGGCCCTGCTGGTGGACCTCCTGATGGCACCTGGGTTTTGGCCACTGTGTGAGACAGAGTGTTGGACTGGGTGGGCCATTGGCCTGATCCAACATGGCTTCTCTTCTGTTTTTATGTCTGGGGCAGTGATGCTCTGTATTCTTGGTGCTTGGGGGGAACAATGGGAGGGTTTCTGGAGTTCTGGTCCTGCTGCTGGACCTCCTGATGGCACCTGGGTTTTGACCACTGTGTGACACAGCGTGTTGGACTGAATGGGCCACTGGCCTGATCCAACATGGCTTTTCTCTTATGTTTCTATATCTGGGGCAGTGATGCTCTGTCTTCTTGGTGCGTGGGGGGCAACAGTGGGAGGGCTTCTGGAGTTCTGGCCCTGCTGGTGGACCTCCTGATGGCACCTGGGTTTTGGCCCCTGTGTGGCACAGAGTGTTGGCCTGGATGGGCCTGATCCAACATGGCTTCTCTTACGCTTTTATGTTCTTAACAAGATTTCTTGAGAGCGCAGGCTCCCATCGTCAGATAGGGACCTCCATTCGTACTTGCACTCGACAAAGGAAGCTTTGACTCTCAACAGCTTCTACCCTGGAAATCCCGTTTGCCTTTTAAGGTGCCGCTGGACTCAGATCTTGCAGCAGGGTGAGGAAACTATGGTCAGAGAAAGCCCCTGCCCTCTGTGATTCCCCCACTCCTCCTCCACATGCAGCTGCTGGCGTGATCATGGGTCGGTCACAACGCAATGTTCCCTCTAAGCTGTGGAGTCCTGTGAGCAAAAGTTCTACTTGGTGAGCTACTGGCATGAAAGTTGCGAGTGATTTGGCTACTGCATAAGTTTGCTCTGGAGCCATCCTTCCTGAGCGAAGACAAGAATGTGTGAGCTGGAGGCTAAAAAACGGTGAGCTAGCTCACGCTAACTCAGGTTAGAGGGAACACTGGTCACAAGTTCTCTCAGAGCTGTTCTCTCAGGAGCAGGTTCTCTCAGAGCTCTGTCGGCCCCACCTGCCTCACAGGGTGCCTGTTGTGCGGAGGGGGAGGGAAAGGAGTTTGTAAGCCGCTCTGAGACACCTTTGGGTAGTGATGGGCGGGGTATAAATCCAATCTCTTCTTCTTCTTCTTTTACCTCACAGGGTGTCTGTTGTGGGGAGGGGAAGGGAAAGAAGCTTGTAAGCCGCTCTGAGACACCTTTGGGTAGTGATGGGCGGGGTATAAATCCAATCTCTTCTTCTTCTTCTTTTACCTCACAGGGTGTCTGTTGTGGGGAGGGGAAGGGAAAGAAGCTTGTAAGCCGCTCTGAGACACCTTTGGGTAGTGATGGGCGGGGTATAAATCCAATCTCTTCTTCTTCTTCTTTTACCTCACAGGGTGTCTGTTGTGGGGAGGGGAAGGGAAGGGAGTTTGTAAGCCGCTCTGAGACTCCTTTGGGTAGTGAAGGGCGGGGTATAAGTACAATCTTCCTCCTTCTCCTCCTCCTCCTCTTCACTGCTGCATTGTCCGACAGTGGCCCTCAAGCAGGTAAATAAGGCTGAGAGCAGAGCACGGCTCCAAGTTCTCTGGTTTTCTTTTCCCTGTTCTATTTTTTGTTGCGCAGCCTTGAGTGGATAAATCTGGGACCTTTCTGCTCCACATTTCACTGCTACCCCGTTGTAAATAACGTAGCTCTGGGAACCGGAAGTTTTTTTTTTCCAACGGAGACTATTGTAGATTTTTGCTGCCGGGGAGTGCTGCTAACCAGCTTTTCCCTGTTGGTCGACGGGACGTGAGTGGAAACGAGGGGAGGCGACGGCAAGCGTTAAATATTAAAAAGATGCAAATGTGGTATGTAAATTAGCCGAGGGCGCTGAAAGGGAGAAAACCTTTGTGTGTCAAGGAAAATCACAGGAGTGTGGGGAGAACAGGCAACGGGGTACCTTCGAGTAAAAGAAAGCAGAGGTGCTGCTTGGCTGGGGTATCTCTAGGCTAATCCTGCTTCAGCGGCCTGCCTACCCACCTCTAACTCCATCTCTCAAAGCCTCTGGGTGGCCCTCGGGTCTTCCGGCTTCTTGAACTTTGGCAACAGGGCCAAATAACGTATCATACATGAATACATGAAGCTGCCTTATACTGAATCAGACCCATTGTCCACCAAGGTCAGTCCTGTCTACTCAGACTGGCAGCAGCTCTCCAGAGTCTCAGGCTGAGGTCGTGCACATCACCTACCGCTTGGTCCTTTTTAACTGGAGGTGCCGGGGATTGAACCTGGGACCTTTTGCATGCCAAGCAGAGGCTCTGCCACTCAGCCACAGCCCCTGACTATGTCTCTCCAGGGTCTCAGGTGGAGGTCTTTCACATCCCCTACTGCCTGGTCCTTTTAACTGGAGGTGCTGGGGATTGAACCTGGGACCTTCTGCATGCCAAGCAGATACTCTACCACTGAGCCACAGCCCCTGACTATGTCTCTCCAGAGTGTCAGGCTGAGGTCTTTCACATCACCTACTGCTTGGTCCTTTTAAACTGGAGATGCTGAGGATTGAGCCTGGGACCTTCTGCATGCCAAGCAGAGGGTCTGCTGTTGAGCCATGGCCCCTCTCTATGGCTTTCCAGGGTCTCAGGCAGAGGTCTTTCACATCCTCTACTGCCGGGTCCTTTTAACTGGAGATGCCGGGCATTGAACCTGGGACCTTCTGCATGCCAAGCAGAGGCTCCCACTGAGCCACGGCCCCTCTCCATGGCTTTCCGGGGTCTCAGGGAGAGTTCTTTCGCATCCCTTACTGCCTGGTCCTTTTAACTAGGGGATTGAACCTGGGACCTTCTGCATGCCAAGCAAGATATTCTACCACTGAGCCACCGCCTCTCCACTAATGTGTAGTTCCGCGATAGGCCATTTTACAGGAAATTACAGGTGGTTCCAGCCTGGGTAAACCAGCCAGCATAGGGATTGGGGGTGCAATTAACTCTTTCATTCCTGGCCACTTCATCACCTCCTTGGCTGCTTAGCTGCTACTGCCATGAGATGTGGGGTCCCAGTATCTTTCCACCCATGAATGGGAAAACAGCTTGGGGAGGGCGGTGTGTGTGTGATTCCCAGGTCCCTCAGCCTTTCCTCACAGGGCTTCTTGGTCATCCTCATCGCTTTCCTCTGCACCTGCTCCATTCCGTCCACATCCTTTTTTGAAGTGAGGCCTCTCTGAAACGTCCAAACCCCAGTAGGGATCACCAGAAGTCACACACACACACACACACACACACACACACACACACACACACACACACACACACGGGCTGCCAAGCCGCGGCGGGGGATCCGCACGTCTTCACGGGATCCCTGCCGTGGGGGACAGCGATATGCGTTGCACCGCCGTCGCCAGGATGTGACGCTACGAGTCACTCTGGCAACAGGACTCCAAACAGCCCCGTTGCCAGAGCGACGCGTAGCATCACATCCTGGCGACGGCGGTGCAACGCGTATCGCTGTCCCCCGCGGCAGGGATCCTGTGAAGACGTGCGGATCCCCCGCCGCGGCTTGGCAGCCCTAACACACACACCCCATCAAAAAAAGTTTCTCCTTCCTTTCTCCATCACGGTGTACTGGATCTAGGGTCAGCGTCACCCAGTGCACTCTGGGAAACGTAGTTCTCAAGACAGGCATCAGCAGCAGGCCCACATGTGTGGTGGAATGGGAGGACCCCATGGCACCCCCATGATCCCTGGACCTAGGCTTAGGGTAACCCGAGCTTCTTTTGCTGATCGGCTGGCAAACAGCTTAGTTTCCCTGAGGCTGATTCGAAGGGGAGTGTGAGGGGAGGGGCTCATCCATCACCACAGCTCAGTCTTGGCAAGCAGGGATACAGGAGACCCCCGACGCAGAAATATCCCACCACCGCCTCAGCTTGATTCCCACCTGGATTTCTGGGACGATGGGGCCTCTCTCGGAACAGGAGCTGGCAAACGCCGTCAGGGGGGACGGTGAGACCACGGGATTGGGCCGGGCGAAGTTGCTGAGGTCGCAGCTTGGGATGTCGTTTTCCTCGTGCCTCATGACGATGGTCTCCATGACGAAGAAGCGATCCCACGGCAGCCAGAGGGTGTGCTCTTGGGTAATGAAGGGAGCCCGTTCAAAATGGAGGATGATGGAGATCCCGCCGTTGGTGACGAGGTCAAAGCTGTTCAGAAACAGAGACGGAGGGAGGAGGGGGAAAAGAAAACAAATTAATGGCGGTGCTCCGCCCCACCCCCCCCTTTACATCCCAGTGAAATTTCCCTTTAACAAACAGATTGTGTGGAGACAGATCAAGACGGGTAGCCGAGTTAGTCTGTCTGTAGCAGGAGCTGGGGTGGCTCAAGTGGTTAAGATGCTGAACTGCAGGCTGTGGAAGGTCGGTAGTTCAGCAGTTCGAGACCCGAGTGTGCCGCATGACGGAGTGAGCTCCCGTCTCTAGTTCCAGCTCCTGCCAACCTAGCAGTTCGAAAGCAAGAAATTGCAAATAGGGACCACTTCGGTGGGAAGGTAACAGCATTCCGTGCGCCTTGGTGTTTAGTCATGCCGGCCACATGACCACGGAAACGTCTTCGGACAGCGCCAGCTCTTCGGCTTTGAAACGGAGATGAGCACCGCAACCCTAGAGTCGGACTCGACTGGCTTTCGAGCAAGGGAAATCTTTACCTTTTTACTTCCTTATATCTGCCCTTCAAAACTGCCGAGGGAAGCAAAAGCAAAAGCCCTTCTTAGTTTTGGGACTAAACTAAGTTTTGATAAAAAATATTTCGGCAGTTGCATCGGGAGGGCGATTCCCAAATGGAGTGTCGAACATACCCCGCGCGCCCTAATAGACGTACTTGTAAACATCCAGTTTCCTTACAGGTTTTTAAAATTTGTCTTCTAGTTTCCTCCTGTGTCAAGGTGGAAACCACCTGCCAACTG